TATCGTTATATCGTCTTCTTCACTCGACGGCTTAAATCAGATTTCTGATGTATCGCTTGGAATGAAAGTTGCTGTATCGGTTTGCCGATATAGGCGTTAAATCGATATGTCGCGATATATCGATTTATAGCCCAGTCCTATTCAAGAGTTGTAATAAACATCATAAGTCGGGATTTTAAAAAAATCACTGGAAAAAAGGCGGAAACTACACATGGATTTGGTGCAAATCGAACGCGTCCAAAAGTAATCACTTGAATGTGCGATTCGAAGCTTTTAATAATACCGTATGAAAATATAATTTAAAAAACCATGTGGATAACAGTAACAATAACCGATAAAAATTCGATCAATAAAACATGGGTAATGCGCCCTTCAAAAAGTGACCAATAAATGCACGAATTGAATTTTGTGTGTCATAATAATAATGTATTAAAAATAGAGATTTCAAACAAAAAGCAACTATGGTCAATGAAACAATCGAAATATGAAATGGATTTACCATGGTATCGATGCAAATCGAGTGTATCAAAAACCTATAACTCAAATTTTGAAAAAGTAATGGTTAAAATTTTGCGTGTCATAATATCAGAATTTTAAAAACTATAGAAAAATTAATTGCATTAGCTGCAACAGCAAAAAAAATATTGAAAAACGGATTTACGAAAGCATCAAGCGCATTGAAAAGTGATTACTTGAAAGCGCGATTCCAAATGTTTATATCTTAATATCATTTTAAACAAAATTGCTAATCATTGAAATATAATTAAAAAAATATGTAAAAACGAAGTATCTTTTAAAAGATTGCCATTTCACTCTTATTTTTTTTGATTATCAACTTTATACTTAGGTGTTCACCTTAGTAGTTCATTAATTCTAGCCGAAGTTAATTTCAGAGAGTTCTCGAAGTCGCGTTTTTAAATTATCTAACAAATCGGCATGAAAAAGTCGTTAAAGTGTGTGAAGATTTACTGTCGGAATATAAATTATTGATTCACGAAAATAAGGGAATTAGCGAAAAAATCACATGCCTGATATTATCCAATAGTTATTTTTAATTTTACTATATAAACTTAAATAAATTGAACAGGAAAATTAAGTCAAAATTAATGCAACTTCTCATAAACATTTAAAAGAATTTTTTTTTTAAAATCAAACTATCGATTCTAAAAAATCTAATGCGCAAATTATTGAAAAGAAGAAACAAGACATTTTTTTTTTAAATAAATTATACGAAAAATATTTATTGACTATATACAATGAACAGAGCTTAAAATATAAAAGACAAACTAAAAGAAAGCAATGCAATCAATCAACCAATAATCAGTCGTTTTCACATAACTTCCATCTCCATACTGTGGTTACTCTCTTGAAATATTTGTTTCAAAGGGCCATTACTGTCATCTGGATTTTCCATTTGTTTTTCTGCAGAAGAAGGTGGTGTTGGGATGCCATCCATACTGGGGTTGTCATCCCAATCTATCTTGAACCTTGTCACCCGGGGGGAAGTTGCAAGAATATTTCTCTGCAGCTAAAAGAAAAAAACTTGAATTAAAATATATTTAAAAAATAAAAACACAGATAATTTCTTTATTAAAATTTAATGTTGGTGAATAATGAGGACTTATACAAGCTAGAGAATGTCTGAAAAGGCAACTAACAACATTCTCCATTTTCAGTACTGTAATTTTTTTTTACAAGCCATAAGACACTTCTTGAATACAAATCCTAATAGTAGTTTTTAAATCACATGAACATGTATTGCTGCAATATTTGGAAAAAATCGTTAAAATACGAAACACCATGCTCGATCTTAAACCGAGTTTGGTAGGAAAAAACGTAAAAAGGAATTTCTCTCTCTCTCAAGAATTCGAGAAAGGCAAACTTTCTTTAAAGAGGTGGATTTTCTCTCAAATATTATATTTTTGTTCTCTCTTTTTACCCAGCTGTGTTAAATATGATCTTTAAATTGATAAGAAAATAAAAGAAACTTTCAGTGGGGAAGAAGCATTTAAGACATCATTTCAAAGCGAGGGGTCTCATAACATGTGTCGTCAAGATGAAAAGATGTTGCTGTCGAATTATTTCGCAAGAGCTGCATAATTTTCTCTCCTTTCTTTGCAAAGATAAGGTGACAGGAGAAAATTGATTCTTTAGTAATAAAATAGCTTAAAAATATTTCTTCATTATGGAGAAGGCAAAAAATTTACATGAAAAGTTGCATATTTTTTTTTCCTTTCAAATTTAGAAAAAGCAGTGTCTGGTTCAAAGAGATAGAAAGTAACATTTCAGGGCAAAAATGACTGTCCGTGTCTGGTTACGGGTGTGTCCGCTTTGAGGAGAATGTACATAATGGTTTATTTATAGAAGATTCATGAGGAATTAAAAATATGTCTGTATCGAGAGGCGTCAGATTTGCAGGTTAATAGAAAGGATGTGTCAATAACAGGAGGTTTCACTGTATTTATTTTTAAAAGTTTAAATTTTGTAAAAATCAATTTAAGTTAAAAAATATATACATTGAATAAAAAATAAACATTTATCTTTTTATACCAGAAATCTAGCACACAGCTAAAAATGTGATAGCTGGGATCTGAACCACAATTCTCATAGAAGGCAGATAGCTTAACCGTTGATTATTTTATAAGTTACTGAACTGAAACTTTACACTACCATATTTACCCCCAAAGAGCAGATTTTTACCCCATCCAAGGATTTTAACCATGCTTCTTATTCCTAATTTTGTTTCAATTACAAATTTTATAGATGCACACTTCTTTTGCTGGGTGTTTACATAAAACTAGCTATTCAATGAGATTGTGCACTTTAAAGAAATTTATTTTTTCTAAAACACTAGGATACACAAATTTAGCAACATAAGGTATAACTTCTTTTTAAGTAATTCATTAAATTATCTGCATACTCACTTTATCAAACTGAGGTGTTGTAGGAGGATTTTCTTTCATTTCTGGGTCAACATACTCATTATTCACATAATAACCAACTCTGATGAACTCTTTTGTTCTGTAAGAGCAAGTTAAAAGGACAACTGTCACTCCCACAGCATCTTGAACAGGGATTTTAAGAGGGTCAGGAGGATCAGCCTGGAATATAGAAATTAATAAAACTGAAAATAAACTTTATAAAAAATAAAGTTATAAGTTTTGACATTGTCTTTCCAGCAATTCTATAATCATGACAAACTACTGTTTGAGACAGGCGCTTTCATTTCCCTACCAAGAAACACATCTTTAGATCTTATGTTTTTCACTCGCACGTAAAAAAAATATTTTTAAAACTTCGAAATGGCTTCATTTTTTAAACATATCGGCTTTATTTTGTATAATTTTATTTAACACACATTTTCTAATTACATCTCGATTCGGTTACTATTTTGAAAGTTTAAATTTGAACTAATAATAATTAAAGTAATTAAATTTATAAAATTTTACTATGCAGTCATATAAATGTAATTCATTTAAAGTAATTCATTTAAAGTAATTATTTATTTAAAAATAGTTTTAATGGTACCTTAAAAATCAAATAAAGGTAGCTAAATTATCTTAACTGATTTGCTGATTCGTAAAACTCTAATGTGAAAGTAAAACTTCGCAATCAGTAAGATTTTTCAGTTACTCCTGTCAGTTACAATTCAAATAAAAATATTTCTTCTACATCTATTTCCTTCAAATACAACCATTCATCTAATATACTTCATTCACAAACTCATTTTTTGACATTCAATAATTGGTTATTATAAAACTTGTTAAATACTAATCACAGAAGAGATTATTTAACCATATAAATAAATATAATAATAAATAGAAATAAAATACAAACATATTATCCTCAAATTAAAATCTATGAACGGCACTTTGGCTAGCAGAAACATACCGAAAAGTCTTAACGAAGGAGGGTACGTTCAAGGTATAATAGATCCTTGTTCAGTCATTGAAATGGATTTTTTTACATTTGCATTTAACCCTATAATGCAAAAGGGTCAGACCAACACGTCTATCATTTTATTTTAGAGGGGGAAAAAAGTTTTGTGAAGATTTATAGGATATCGGTGTAATACAAGATTTTCATGACATTGTCACAATTTCATTAAGTGTAACTCACTCTATTCAAAATCTAAATTTTTATTTCTAAAATATTTTTCAAAAAACAAGAGACAAAAAAATATTAAATAATTAAAATTACTTTATAAAAAGAACAAATTAACAACGAATATTGCTTTCATAATAAATTTAAGAACTAATAAATAAAAATAATCAGAAATTTAAAGCTTTCCCCTCATCAGTATTACAAAAAGACATTTTCAGAAAAATAAGCACTTTTAATAGTATCTTTTTTTTTTGAAGTGAAAACTCTGATTCTTAGGTAAGAAAAACAGATTCAAAGTATGAGAAGCCCTACACCAGGGATGGCGAACCAATGGCACGCGACAGAATATTTTGGGCACGCCACCGATCACAATTGTTATTGCACTATGAATTGTTATTACACAAATGTAACACACTATGAAGCATATGTAACAATTAAATTAAAATTCACAAAAAACAAACAAAATAATAAACAATTATTAATAAAAAATTTAACAATTAATGCTAAAAGAACAATTAATAACCATAAAAAACAAGCTAACAATAAATAACTAGCAAAAAAATCAACAGTCCTGCTTAAACTAATATCTTACAACCTAATATAAGTTATTTGTAATTTAATCTGCAAAAACAGAAGTCCCACTGATGCTACTTTAAGTTGAATTACGCGTATTTTCTTTTCAATGTAAATAAAGAGTTTTGAGTTGATAGTATTTAGTATTATTATTTTCCCAATAATCATGAAGTCAAAATTATTTGACGGCACGTTTGTGATTTAATTAAAATTTTTTTTTAGAAAAAATGGCACGTTGGTGTATAAAGGTTCGCCACCCCTGCCCTACACAGACTTTACATGTTCAGAGCAGAATTGGGGAATCTTTTTGGAGCAACACTTTTCTCCCTGCATCACGACTGGGGTACTAAATTTTACACTGTGGTGGGAACGCCTATCTCAAATAGTAGTACGCCATGTCCATAATTATAAATAAAAATTCAATTAAGCTACCACATAGAATACATGACAAACCACATGCAGTGTTTTCCCTAAGCGATTTTTTAAGGGCGATTTGCCCTGCATGTCCTTTGAACACAACAAATGCACCTTCTTTGCCATTTTTGTAAAATTAAGTTGCCTTCCATAAAAAACACTCCTTTTTCTAATATTCATATTGCATTTCAAAAAACTTTAATTCACTGTTTAAATAATAATTACACTCTGGTAAAATTAGACATGTTTATAGGTCTACTATTGCAAATATTTACTTCGGTAGGATTATTCTCAACTGGTTTTTCAGGGAAATATTAAATTTTGTAAGTGATTTTAAATTTTAAAACTCATTTTTAAACAAATACTTTTTATTTTCTCATAATTTTCAGATTGAGTTATAGAAAAAAAGCTTTCAAATTATTAATCAATTTTCAATAGTTACTTTTTTCTTGGGGGAAAAAAAAAAAAGCAAAGAGATTGCTTTTAGCATGCCTTTAATTAGTTTTATAAACTACAAGTTTTCCTCTTTTTTTGATGAGAGAGAAATACTTTTTCAAACACACACAATTTTTACGTTGTTAACTGAGTGCCCTATTCAGAGAGGATTCTTATTCCTAGGGAGAATTCTGCCAAATGTTCAAAATAGAAATATTTAACATTGATGCTGAGTGTGCAGGAAGCTAAAATCACCTGTATATAAGTAACTTTTATAAATAATAACTAACTATATTAATAATAATTGAAAATAAAAGAAACTTAGTTGTGTTATTGGTGTGGGGTAAAGGGAAAAAAACTTTAATAAAAATGTTTGATATTTAGGAATTAAGATAAATAAAAAACTGACTAGCAGCTATTAAAAAGAAAGACTAGTTACAAAAATGAGAAATAGAAAAAAAAATTATTAAAAAAAAAATAAAAAGATTATGACTATCAGAAATGCTTTTAAAAGGGCAGAGCGATCTTAAAAAAACGGATAAAATAAAAGGTTATACAAAAGCAAAACAAGAAAAATAAATCTTCATTTTTGAAAGAAAAAGTAAAGTTTAATAGAAACTTTTTTTATTACTGTATCATAATAAAAATGTCTATAAAAAGTATTTTAAAAAAGAAAAAGCTAGATAGAAATAAAAGAAAATCATTGTCAATTTTTAAATGAAAGATTGAAAGCTAAAAATCTGAATATAACTTTTTCACATTGCTGTATCTTTTAGATAAAAGTGACCATAAAAGAATAAAGTTCATTAGATACCCACTTTAAAAAGCGTTGTCACAGTAAAAAACCCGGATAAAAAGAAAAGCTAAAAAACTAAAGAGGAAAAAAGAGAAAAAGCTTTTAGTTCTGAAATATAATTTAAAATAAAGTTGGGAATCAGTTTTCTAAGTTACTGCTAATCTGTCTAACAATACAGGAAAAAAGTGACAACAAAAGAATAAAGTCCATTAGAAACGCTATTAAAATGTTGCACTTAGTTAATACAGAAAAACAAGCAAAAACAGAGGAAAAGAAAAACCTGGATTTTCAAAACAAAGTGCTTAAAAAAATTTACTTGTTCAATAAAATTAAAGAAAAAAAAATCACCAATACAAAATTTATGGTTTAGTATAAAGTAATCTCATTTCAATTCTTCAAATTTCGCTTTTCCATTTGTCTTTCAGAACATAAAAGAACAATATTTAGAACTAACAAATTTTAATAAAAACAATTCTAAATAATGTATAGCGATAAATATGATTTTAGATTACTAGTTATCAAATCTATTCAAATAAAAAAAAGTCATAGCATGTAAGATTCAATATTTTCAATTTATTTATTATTTTCCTCAATCTTTAAGTTCTTCCAGAGCCAAGGTTGTACCCTCCTATATCACTTGGTAATGTTTTTTTTGTTGTTGTTTATTTTTTTTAAAAAAATCAACAGTTATAAATGGTGACAAATGAGTTTATTAGCATTGAAACGAAAATGAATCGAAATAAAAATAACCGAAATTTTAATCCTATCTTAGACAAGACATTGGAAAACTAATTTGCATCAAAATGTAGTTTTATTTTTATGGAAAAATAGTGACATATCCCATGCAGGAGCAATTTTAAAATCTGTTTTAGACACAGTTGTAGCTTGACTTAACATATATTCCTCTCAACCATTTTGAATGAGTTTGAAAAGTTTTATATCAATTATAAAGTAAAACATGTAATAAATATTGTATTTGTATAAATATATTTTATGTTGAATATTTTAATTCAAATAGACATATTTTAGATACCTGGAATACAAACATATGACGACCTTCCGGAACTGGTCCGACAAATACACTATCTAGAACTTGATCATGAGCTTCACTTTCAGCAGACCCCACATAGATAATCTTCCATTCTAAATCTGAAATTATTACAACATATTGATAGTAAAGACTTAGGCTTATTTCATAAAATAATTAACATTTAATCACATTTTTTAATAAAGTGCATGTCAAAGTTTGGACAAATAAAAATCACAAAAACATATAGTAATATAGTATTGTAATGTACATTGTTGGGACATTGCAGTTGAACATATAGCGATTTCTTGAAAGCTGTTCATTCAACTTACACAAGTAACGGTTCATAAAAATTTAAGAATTAAATAAAATTTTTTCGTTTTGTTTGACAACCTATATAATAGAAAAAATTTACCATTCAAATTTAGGCTAGGTACATATCAATTCATTTATTTTAATAGAAAGTTAATTTCATCAAAAGAATTAAAAAAAAAAAACTCTTTTGATTTCTTTTTTAAACATAGGTAAGTTTTTGTTTAAGAGTCATTTAAATAGGTAAATCTTTTTCTAAACTTAAAATTCCACGAAAAAATTCAAACTATGACAACTTAAAATAAAAGCCAAAAAACTTTAAGACAACAAAAGAATATAAGAACAAAGATATAAGTTTTGATAATGGATATCGAAAATTCAGCCATATACAGTAACAAACTTTAAACAGAGTAGTAGCAATAAAGAAATTTTTTATCATTGGCCCAAATGAGTAATTTAGACATTATTAGTCTATAAAAACATTTTCACTAGATCATCAGCAGTGACATTTATTACTTTTTTTAAAAAAATTTAATCAAGTGAATTTATTAGAAAAATTACACAACAAAGAACAAGCCTATCAGAGCAATAATAAAAAATGTTATTATGTGACATTAACATAGCTCAAAACATGAAACCAAAACACTACCCATTTATATAGATTACTAATTTGGAGAACAGAAATTTTTTTATGACGATTTGCGGCTTTGCAGGGATGAATTAAAAGTCCTGTTTTAATATCTAAACTGTTAAGTTAATATTAAGAATTATACATTGACAAAGTAAACAATAGATGTTATTTTAGAATATTGAATTTAAATGTAATATTTCAACCATTATTCAGGAAATGCAAGCTTTTGATTTAAGATAATTTTCAAAATTTAACAGAAGTAAAGGAGTATTCTTCCTAGATGAGCATGTGAATATTCAGAAACTACATTTAAGACTAACTGCTCACATATGCTCTAATTGCAATGATGTACAGTTGCATACAGTGAGAAAGCTTCATAAGCTTTTGAAACACACTTCTCAATATAAGAAAAGATATTTTTAAATTAACTTTGTTGAAATCTAAGATATTTGTCTTCTAATGTTTCGTTATACAACAATATCATAAATACTACACATATATAAATTTTTTATTTGTACAATTTTAGGGATGAAGCACTACAGTGTAGGAGAAAACAAAGACTTTTTTAAAATATAAACAAATATATATAAGAAATGAATGTTTGAATATTTATCACTGGTGAAATGAGTTGTATAAATTCTTTTACACATTTATAGAACATTTCACAAGACAAATAATTTATTGTTACGGATACGAATACATACTGTATTAGAACTCGATGTAACAACAAATTATGCAAGAACAGCTATAAATAGGAGATGTGCTACAAGTTGATAGCAAAGAAATATTGAATTTCTTATCATTTAGAAATAGACTGAAAAGAAATTATATGGATCAGTTCCGTAATTTGTCTAGTACTTAGGCAAATTCAAGTTAGAATAGATTATCTAAGCTTATCTAGAATGAGTAAGATGACTAAATACAAGTATAACGCAGTTCTTTGTTATTTTACTTCAAATAGAGAAAAATTTCAACCCTTTTTTATTTTTACCTTCTTTCAGATCTTCAATACACTCAAATGTTACTTCGAATTGAAAAGGATTAAAGAATAGCGATGGGTTATCAAGTACAACAACATTACAGACATGTACTTTTGCCATCACTGATGTAGTAGCTTTTTGACCTTTAAACCCTATTCGAAGTCAATGTAATGATACAACTTCAGAATTCCTTCAAAACTATGCACGAATAAAAACAATGTATAGTTGATTATAGCTTTAAAAAGATAAAAAGGTGCCACGAAATATTCCGACTACTCGCTCTAAAATTGGCGGGAGGAATTGAAAGGCAGTGTTGCCTAATAAACTACAATACAGCAAAATTAACAAAAAAAAGTATTGATAAGTTAATGAAATATTTTCATACAATTAGCTCTAAATTAAAATTTTCCATCATACAGAGATATTAGATATAAAAATTTGCAACCTTTTAAAAAGATTCAAAACAGTTAACTTTAAAACCGCCTCATCCAAGAGAAAAAAATAATAACAAAAAGTTTCTTAATCTGGCAAGGATTTCCATTTTTTATCAGTAGATGACATAATTATGTAAACATGGCGTTGTCATTCCAGGTTGGTTGCTTATTTATAATGCATAATATGTTTTAATTACCAGAATATCTCTGAAAATTGCTGTGTTCATATTTGAATAGGAGTAATTTTATGAAGAATGAAGTGTTTTGAACTTAATAGTTAACCTTTTCTCGATAGTTTTTAAATCATTTGTTGCTTTGACTGATGTTTGTTGACTTATTTGTGCTTTCATCCACTCTCCTTAACTTCCTTTTAATTTTTATTGACACATATTTTTATTAACCGCACAAATTCGTATCAGATTTATGATCTAAATAATTATGGTGTAGATGATTTTTTAATGAGGTGATTTAAACTATCATGACAAAACTTTGTAATAGTATTTAAAAATGTTGTGTTACATTTGGATTACAAAACATGTTTTTGTTATTTATTGTTTTGTAACTATACTATCCATCATATTATATTTCTTATGCAATAGTATAAAATTTTCTTCATTTACAGAATGCATAGAGAGTTTTTATTACTGGCGAAATTTATTTAATACTTAAATGAGAAAAAAACTTTTAAGGTATCTGGTCAAAATTAAGGAAAAAAGTGGTTTTTAAGAAAAAAAAATTTTTTTTTTTAATTAAAATTTCCTGTTTACTTTACGTTTTATGAAATATTTTGTTGTAGAAATTGTTTTACTTTTTAGGAAATAATCTTGCATCCACAAAATGTAGCTTTATATTTTTTTTAATGAAATGCAAGTAGTATTACATTGAGTCATTTTTAATTATGACTCATGCAAGGTTGGCTGGAGACTGGTTTAAATCAATGTGGCTTATACCAGACGTTTTTTTTTTTTTTAAATATTAAAAAAAAACTACGTGTTTTTTTTTTTTATTAAATCTTTTAAATGAGTAAATTTTTTTGTAACATATGTAAATTTTTTCCGTTTTATTACTGCCATATGAAAAAAAAAAGATTAAGTTTTCACACATTTTTTACAATTTTGAATTTTATGGATAGTAGGAATTCGTATATACTTTAAATAAACATGAATTCACATCTGTCTACATATTTCTTATCCTATCAGGTCTTCATTATCTGTTATCGCATTTGCATATTTCTGAAAGAAGAGGGAATATTTTTAAATTCTTTATTCAATATATAAATCTATCTAAAGTTAAAAAAAATGTCTGTGAAATGTTAAATTTGTTGCTTAGAATATAATTTAACCTTTTGTTTTAAATAAACCGAAAGAAAAATCCTGATTTTTTTTATTTAAGTCTTGGACTTAAAATATCAAGCCTGGTCACATATCACCTCATAAACATAATAGAAGCAACGGGATCCACTGGAAGTTTTCTATATTTCTTTTGGCTTTAGGAAGCTTATTATTGTTTACATTCAGTCACCCATTTACATAAGGATTCTTTTATATTAGTGGTGCTAGAATCACAGAAAATGAGCTAGGCTTTCATACCCTGCTTTTTTTTTTAAAATCATATTTTAGTACAATAAGAATTTAACTTGTCTTAAATTGAATGAAATTTGATATATAAGAGAATTTTCCCATGTGATTTTTCAGTATTTTTACACAATTCAGTATTTTTTTTTTTGCAGTGTTCCCAGTACTTTTTTATTACTTTGTTATTGTGTATTAATATCTCAAAATATGCTTACAAAATGATATCTTTATACCATTTCACTGTTTTTGATTCTGATTTGGTTTTATGTATGACAATTAGAATTTTGCATAATATTTTTGATTTGAAAATTGATTAAAGCATTATATTTAAATTATTTTAGCAAAATTAAATTTTACTGTTTTTATACCTTTTTGGAAAAGTAAATTTTTATTATTTTGTCTACTGGACATAGATGACATTAATAATTTTTTTACATAAATCTTTGATATAAAATTGTTTTTGTTAAAGAAAATTTTCTTTAAATAAAATAGATTTTTTTTTTAATGTCTTTGTTTAGTAGCTCTATATTTTCAAAATTTAATAAATAAATGTGGTGTACTTAAATTTTTTTGAAGTTAAAAGAATTCTTTAGTTTGCTAAATTTTTTTATGGTTAATATTTAGTTCAAAAGATTTCCAGTGATCATTTAAAGGGTGCATTAGGCCCACAGTTTGAGGATGGGCAGCTGTATTTTTAATTTTGTTCAAATTTATACATAATATATTTTAGCTCTAAAAAAAAGTCACGTAATACATACATGCATCTTATTGTATTAGAGGATGATTGTTCAGTTAATTTTAAATAATTTGTAAAACTATTAAAATAACTAAAAGAAATGTCAGAAGAAACAAATCACTTGGATTTTAAAAAAATGCCTTTGTAAAGCTTTTAAGTATTTTAAAAAATTTAAATATTTTTGCATTTCTTGAGGATCTTTAAATGGATTGTAGAAGTTATATCAAATAAAATGGTTACAAACTTCCATTTTATGAAATTATCTCTTGCAGTTATTTTTTTTAAAGATAATAATTTATTTTGTTTTGAAATGTATTATTCTCATTATTATTAATACTGTATTTGAACTGTTCATTTTCATTATTATTATTTCAACCAAATTGTTAGTATAAATTGTAAGTTTTAAATTTAAAAGTTTTTAATAATTAATAAACTTTTGTTGCAATTTTAGGTTCGAGCTTTGTATGATTTTGATGCTCAAGCTGGGACAGGAGAATTGACTATTACTGCCAATGAAATTTTGACCGTAACGAACCAAGTAAGTTAACTACTTCATAAGTTATTTTTATAACCACTTACTTCATTTTATTTTTGATTATTTCATTTTATTTTTGATTATTTATTATCTTATTATTAATAATTGTTTTCAATTTCATAGATTTGATTTTGTGCTATATTACATATGATGTATCTATAAAATTCTTTAAATATGTTGTTTTTAAGAGGGAAAACATTGTGATAGTTGAAGAGAGAGTATAATTTAGTAGAATTCTTTTGTGTTTTCTTGAATATTAAGTGGTTGTGTTTTCGTTTGATGTTTTGTAAGTCAAAATGAGTTGTGTTTCATGATTTTTAAATCACATTTACTGCAAAAGGATTGTAAAATAAGATTCATAAATAGTTTTAATATGAATTGTGGTATATGATCACTAAGAATAATGTCATATGAATAACAATCACAAAGCTTAATTCCTAAATCACAAGAATATGATTATTTTATGTATATTATGACCAAGAATCAATGTGTGCTATTTTTCTATCATGTGAAAATGAATCACAATTTGGGATTTGGAATTTTAATCACTAATCATAATTAGTCAGAAATTTGGAGTTTAGAGATCTTAACAGATCTAAAGCTATGTAAGTGTAAAATTACTATTTCATCTGTGTACCAGCTGCCTACTATGACCAGCTGGTGACCTATATGAACTCATTGCATCCAGGTCCTTCCTTCTCCTGCTCAAACTGTTCGCTTCAAGAATCCACAATATTCTTGCTGCTTTTCACAACATTTCTTGAAATCCTTGGCATTAGCGCTTTAAGTTCAAACCAAAGAGTTAAAAAACATTCTTGAATTCACTCGCAGTGGTCAATTATTCCATCCAAACACACTGGCTGCTTTGAGGTTTCACATAGTTTTCCACCTGCACAAATTCATTTTGATTTAATGACAGTAAAGGTAGATTCAGATGTGTTATAATAAACACATGGTGATAATAAGTGGGAACATGTTATTTAGCATAACTGTCAGTTGAGCTAAATACCTCGGTAATTAATATTTAGCATGCACCTCAAAAATTTTATTTAGCCTTTCTGCCAATTAGGTTAATTACCTCTAATTGACCTGATAAACCACAATAATTACAAATATCAAAATAATAAATTTTTTTCTGTTCATAAAAATCTGTGATCCAAAATTCAGTTTTCTAACTTAATGGGAAGTGAAGTGGAAGAATTAAAGATGAGTGAGGAATTTGTCAATTTTATATACAGATTTGGAATACTGAAAAACCTGCAATTCCTGAAAAAGTCAGGGAAGTTAATGTGTTTAGAAAAGTCAGAAAAATTGATAAGTTTTTGAAAAAGTTAAGAAAGTTAAAATTTGCAGAAAATGTCTTTCAACAAAGTGTTCTTAAAATAAGAAAAAAAAAAAAAAAACCCCTTTTAACTGCACAATAATTTCTGTTTGAAAATTTTTTTCTGGCATAAATTTAAGTTAATTTATAATTGTATTAAAATGCATTCATTAGTAGAAATTTATAAGTTTGCATCAGAACTATTTTACCCATCTACGGTACAGACCTAGTCATAATAATAATGGGAACATAGGAAACACTCTGTGCTTGTACTTGGCTTGCAAGGAACTGAAAATTTTCTGTGAATAATAAATAATAGTCTTGCTAGTTCCTGAAATTCTACTTGAACTATTTTAAAAGTGATATCATGTTATGAACAAATAAATATATATATATATATAAAATCATGCAATAAATGCATGTAGGAAGCAGGACTGTATAAAACAAAAAATTCTCTGCAAATGAAGAGATATTTGAATAAATACTTTCTGTAACATGGTATTACATAAACAATTAAAAATCTGAACAAAATAATATGTTTGTTAGTATAAAAACCATATCAGGAGCCAATTGAGATATTTTTCGAGCCTATTCGGTGATAATTTGATAAATCATTTAAGGTCAGCTTTTGTAAAGGGTCAAATTTAAATAGTTAGATTTTGTGAAAGAGGCAAAATTTTTCAATTGTGAATAATGTGCAGAATTCTCGAAATGGCCCAAATTTTTGCCTGAATCAAATCTCGATTAACTTTAAATAAACATGAATTCACATCTGTCTACATATTTCTTATCCTATCAGGTCTTCATTATCTGTTATCNTGACTGTAACGAACCAAGTAAGTTGACTACTTCATAAATTATTTTTATAACCACTTCATTTTATTTTTGATTATTTATTATCTTATTCTTTATAATTGTTTTCAGTTTCATAGATTTGATTTTGTGCTATATTACATATGATGTATCTATAAAATTCTTTAAATATGTTGTTTTTAAGAGGGAAAACATTGTGATAGTTGAAGAGAGAGTATAATTTAGTAGAATTCTTTTGTGTTTTCTTGAATATTAAGTGGTTGTGTTTTCGTTTGATGTTTTGTAAGTCAAAATGAGTTATGTCTCCTAGGTGTTGCATGATTCTTAAATCACATTTACTGCAAAAAGATTGTAAAATAAGATTCATAAATAGTTTTAATATGAATTGTGGTATATGATCACTAAGAATAATGTCATATGAATAACAATCACAAAGCTTAATTCCTAAATCACAAGAATATGATTATTTTGTGTATATTGTGACCAAGAATCAATGTGTGCTATTTTTCTATCATGTGAAAATGAATCGCAATTTGGGATTTGGAATTTTAATCACTAATCATAATTTATATTGTAATCTAACATTTGAAAAACAGTGTTTTACACTGTTGCTGTCATTTTTTTTTTCAACAAATTTTGAAAATGCCCCCCTTTCTTATTGTTCACAAACAAGTATGATGTTATGCAAAATTATACTACTCATTTTCTTTTTCTGATCGGGAAAGCACAGTTTATGCCTAATAATTTCACTTATGACTTAATAATTTGTTCCTATGTCGGATCCAAAATAGCTTAAATTTCCTGACATATAGAATAAATACACATTTATTTTTGTGTAAAATGAATAAAAGTTTTATTTTTTTTTCGTATCAAACTTTTTCAACATAAGCTCAGTTTCAAATTACTACAAAAGTTTATTACTGACCAGATTTTCAATGAACTTTTTTCTAACTAAATTTTAATGCATTTATTTATTATAAGTTCCAAGTTGCACTGAAATTTTAAGCAATTTCTCCAACTTGCCATTAAGTTAAAAAAAGCATGCACCAATAAATGCATTCTGGAATAAATGCTAATAAATGCATGCAACAAATTTATGAATATGCATTCTAGATTTACAAAAGTGTACATTTCACACATAAATAGGAAATTTATTAGTAACAGTTAAATTAATTTCTGTTTTTTTTTTTTTTTTTTTTTTTTAAAATACGTTTGCTTGTTAATTTTTTATTGGTTTCCTAAACCTTTTATGACTGTCCCTGCGGCTGAATTTTTTCCGGCTTTCCACAACATTTCTTGAAATCCTTGGCATTAGCGATTTAAGTTCAAATAGAAGAGTTAAAAACATTCTTGAATTCACTTGCAGTGGTCAATTATTCCATCCAAACAAACTGGCTGCTTTGAGGTTTCAAATAGTTTTCCACCTGCACAAATTCATTTTGATTTAAAGACACTAAAGGTAGATTCAGATGTGTTATAATAAATACATGGTGATAATTAGTGGGAACATGTTATTTAGTATAACTATCAGTTGAGCCAAATACCTCGATAATTTATATTTACCATTATGGCCAATTAGGTTAATTTCCCCTAATTGGCCGTAGCCTAATTCCCCTAATAAACCACAATAATTACAAATGTCAGAATAATACTTTTTTTTCTGTTTATAAAAAATCTATGGTCCGAAATTCAGTTTTCTAACCTAATAGGAAGTGAAGTGGAAGAATTAAAGATGAGTGAGGGATTTGCCTATTTCATATACAGATTTGAAGTACTGAAAAACCTGCAATTCCTGAAAAAGTCAGGGACGTTTGTGTGTTTAGAAAAGTCAGAAAAATTGATAACTTTTTGAAAAAGTTAGGAAAATTAAAATTTACAGAAAATGTCTTTCAAAAAAGTTCTTAAATTAAGAAGGGAAAAAAAACCCTTTTAACTGCGCAATAATTTCTATTTGAAGCATTATTTCTTGCATAAATTTACATTAACCCTATAATTGTATTAAAATGCATTCATTAGGAAAAATTTAAAGGCTTGCATAAGAACTATTTTACCCATCTAGGGTACAGACATAGTCCTAATAATAATGGAAACATAGGAAACATTCCGTGCTTGTCCTTGGCTTTCAAAGAACTGAAAACTTTCTGTGAATAATAAATAATAGTTTTTTGCTAATTGGTGAAATTCTATTTGAACTATTATAAAAGTGATGAAATGTTATGAATAAATAAATAATACATAAAAAAACATGTAATAAATGCATGTAGGAAGCGGGGCTGTATAAAACAAGAAACTCTCTGCACATGAAGAGATTTTTAAATAAATACTTTCTGTAACTTGGTATTACATATACAATAAAAAAATCGGAGCAAAATAATATGTTTGTTAGTATAAAAACCATTATCAGGAGCCAATTGAGATCTTTTTTGTAAAATAAATCATTTAAGGTTAGTTTTTGTAAAGGATTAATTTTATAAAGTTAGATTTTGCGAAAAGGCCCAATTTTTCAATTGTGAATAATGTGGAGAATTCTTGGAATGGCCCAAATTTTTGCCTGAATCAACTCTCGATTAATCATTATAATCATATTATTCCAAAATCAGATTGAAAATTGAAAAAAGAAATTGTGATTTTGACAACCCACAAATGTAAGAGATGATTTCTCCTGGATGTCATTAGATTTGAAACATCCCAATCTTTAAAAGTATGACCTTTTTAAAAGTATGACCTTTTAAAAGTATGAGTCACTCTGACTGCAAGAATATTTAGCCATTACTATAAACATAATTGAGTTACATTTTGTGGGAAAATGTCCATTCACTGATAGCATTTCATGACCATCTGTTTTTTCAGACTCTGGTTATCTCTTATTGGGATGATATTCATAATACCAATGTCAAAGTTTCATTGATGACACATCGGGCCTGCACTAAGTAGTTAAAATTGTTAGCCAGTAAATTAGCCAAATTTCATAAGTCCTAGAAAAAGCAAATCTTAAAAAAGTTTTATAAAATTTTTTCTTATGGAAAACTTCAAATCAAAATACAAATTTACTATAAATTGAACTAATTTATAAAATGTAAATTTAAATCAAAAGTTATTTTACAGTTGAGAAGGAGTAAATTGGGGAGAAAAATAAAAATATAGATGTTTTATCGTCTTTGAAGAAAAGAAATAAGAATAGGTTGAGGTAAATTTTTGAAAACTTCTTAGACTTGAGCAGTAATATAAGGATAAACCTGAGCAACATTTGATGTTGTTTTTTAGATTCCATCTATCTTTTAAATAAATATGTTTTATTTCAAATAAAACGTTTCATTTAAGTATTTTATTTTTTAATAAAAGACTTTGGAATGTCTCACTTATTTTTTATTGTTACGATTGTAATCATTCAGAAAAAAAAAGGATTGCGGTAGAAGATAAGTTATTTTAATTATTTAATTCTGTTTTATTCTTTTTTTATACTACTCGCATAGATTTTTTTCCTCGACATTTTTGCCGGATTTAGCACGTTGATTGCCAGCTGAGGGCCAGTGGTTCTGCTACATCTATCATTGAAAAGTAGTAATCTACAAAGATAAAATAAAAGTTAAATTTTCTTATTTTAGTAACCATTTTAGTTTTTAAATTTCACTCTAAGTTTATTTTAATAAACAATTTACTTTTGTCAGGAGAAAACACATTTTCTGTAAAAATAGTTGTATGATAATATGTATTCAGGGCTATCTCTTAATCAGCTTTATTGACACAAACCATAGGGAAGAGTTTCATCATGCGATATTTCATGATCTGGCCACAAACGTCAGCGATCCTAATACAAATCTGAATTTCTATGCTTGCATAATATCTCTTGTTGCTTACATTGTATGAACTTAGTATAATTCTAATTTGTTATGCAATTTATATAACTAAATTACTATAATTGAATTAAAAATACAAGATTTTTTCAAAAAAATTCATTATGATGTAATTTTCTTTTTGACTGACGAAATCGTTCATCAATACTTTTGAAAACGACAATTTGTTTCTCCACGTTAAGGATTTTATCGCTTTTAGATATGTGGGGAATGCTTAGCGGTGAACCTAACACAGTATTCAAATATATATTTTTGGAAACATTTATTAAATATTTACATAAAATTAATATTCTAAATTTTATTTTTATATGTTAATATTATTAAATAATATTGTAATATTAAATTTTAACAGATAGTGTTATTTAGAAATATGTTCAATTTTCGTAATTTATTGATGAAGTATCAGTTTTGAAGTTTACAGTTTTTAATTCATTTAAATTTTTTTTTAAATTTACATTCTCTTTTTATTTTCTTCCATGCTTTGCATTTCGTTTTTATTTAAAATCAAATTAATCTTTCTGATTATAATTTTTTACTTATGAAATTACTCTCACTGGATCTTTTTAACAATATATCTCTTTTTTAGGATGTTGGTGAAGGCTGGTGGGAGGGAGTTAATAGTAAAGGACTTAAAGGGCTTTTTCCAGCAGGCTATGTGGAGGTATTTATTTTGCTTTTTATTTCTGTAAATAAAATAGTTCTATAATACTTCTAAATGCTGAAGAAATTCTTTTTAATGTCTCCCACTCATAGGTTACTCGGTAAACCAAAATTTTAATAAACAGGGTTTATTTTGTTTTTATAATTTATGATTGTTCAATTGTTGACTATTGCCAATGAAGAAAAAATACCAATAATTTTTTTTTACCATTTCTTTTTTTTAAATTACTATTTTTTCTCTTTTTCTTCATATTAAAATTTGTCATATTTTTATGCATTTATTAGTATTTAGCACAGGGGTAGTCAACTTTTTTTATAACTGCTATCCACTTTTTTGTATCTCTGTTAATATGACCCAATTTTCTAGAAAGCGACCTGCATGTCAAAATAGTGCAAGAGATGTTTCTTTAAAGAAACTCAAGTGTGCTAGTGCCTCCATTACAAAATATTTTTTTAAAGAAATAATACAGTTATTATTTGTGATTTTAATTCAGTTAAATTTAATAATTTTATTTTTCTTTGTACAAAATTATGCAAAATGTTGAAAATCAAAATTGTACGCAATTTTATTTTTGCTATCTTATATTTCATCTATAAATTTTTTTTTTATAAAATTGGTTTCTGTAATTTATAATGTTACATATGTTTTTACTATTCTTGTATTCACTCCTCCAAAATGAATTTCTCTGCACCAAAAAAGTCAGAGTATTTTCACACCATGAAAGAAATCCAAGCTATATCTTTGACTATATTAAGTGTAATTTTACATGAATGTGAAACTAATAATGCTAGATAAGAAATATAGTCATTTAAAATTAAATGACATTTGCCATATATGTTTTCTTAGAAGTGTAAATATTTCTGGTCATAATCTTGAAATTGCAATTAATAATATAATTTAGTAAGTAAAAGTTGCTTTCATTATTTATATTGGCCTACTTTCGTATGCTCATGTTATTCTATTAAAAGAAGGAATAAACATTTTTTTAGTACAGTACAGAACCCGTTATCCGGAAATCAGAAAACCGGAAAACCAAAAAACCGGAACGAAATTCAATAAATTTTCCCGCCATTTTTTAAAAAAAATTTTTTTTTCCTCCTAGGATTTTTCTTTCTTTTTTGAAAGATACCTTACCATCATTTTGGAAATAATCATTAGTGTACTACTCCATCGTTTTTTCTTCTTTTTAAGATTATTTCCAAAAAAAATTATTTTTTTAGTTGGGTTTAACAATAAAAAAAACGGCTTTTTGTAGCGATTCAGAAAACCGGAAAAATCAGTTATCCGGAATAGCGAGGGTCCCGATCGTTCCGGATAATCGATTCCCTACTGTATTTTAATTTGATATATTTTGGTGAAGCTTTCTTAGATATTATGCATATGTCATGTTGTATGTGGAGGGGGTAATATGTATGTTGGGGATTTCAGTTAGAAAATGTTTTTAGTCTTTGCCTTTTTTCAAACTTGCACCCATGCTGTTAGCACTAATGTTTTCAAACAACTCACCAGTTCCACAGTAATGGTTATTTATAAAGTAAAGAATTAACTTTAATTTTATAAAGTTATAGCAAGTTAAAGTGTATAATAATACATAATTAGAATTACCAGGCAATGGGTTTTTTTGTTGTAATAAATCTGTAATAAATATTTTTAAACTATAATTAATCTCATTTTTAAAAATTATTTTCTTTTTAATGTAATGAAAATTATCACCTTACCTTATAATCTTTTTCAAGATAAGAATAGGATAATTTCAGATAAACATCTTTCTTAGTTTATAACTTTTATTTAATTAACATCTACTCTACAGTTTAACAGGGTAGCCCCTCCACAGGAAAAACGGAGAAAACCTGGAAAATGTATTGAATTTTGATTTTTTTCTTTACAAACTGGGAAAATACAGGGAATTTTGTTTCTTATTTTTGTCTTTTAAGAAATGGTGACCACTCAAAGCGTAATCTATGGGATATTTAACCACGGTATTTCAGCTTTACTAAACTATTTAATTTACTATAGCATTATTTAAGTATGTTCTGCTGTTTTTCTATTGATTAAAACTGATAAATATAGTTAGCCCAATATAGCTCACACAAGAGTAATTGTTGCTTCCTCTTAATATATTGTGTATAATATGTACAGGGAAAACACAGGGAATTTTTTTTCCAGATTTGAGTGGCAACCCTTTTTAAATTTTTCAATCAAATGTTTGACAAAGATGCTAAGCAGATTATTATGTGAGAAAGTATGAGTAAACATTACTCTAGGCATGGATTGAGTTGATAATTGAATTGATTTAAATAAATTTAAATCATTTCAATATTTTTTGTTATTTTTCACTGAAATGACGATTTTATTTTCTCATTATACTCTGTAATTTTTTTTTTAAATATCTTAATTTAGTTTTTTTTCTTTCTTTTTATGATTTCTTTACTACATTCTGTTTTGATATTTGCCCATTTCCCTTTATAGTCCAGACTATTTGCTTTTAGCTACATTACAGCTGTTTTTAAACATTGCTAAAATTGTTTTTAAAGGCAAGAATATTAATTAATTGCAATATTAATAAAATCCAAGAATATTTATGACCCAAAAATATTTTTAAAAAATCAGAGTATTCTCTTTTTAAATCAATACTAAAATTTTTTTTTATTACCTGTATTTAAAAAGCTGATTAAATTAAAAAAGAAAAATGTTTTAGTTACAGCCAAAATCTCTACTACTTAATCTCTACTACTGCAACATCCAAAAGTGGGTAGTAGAGATTAGGTTGATTACTAATGATTCAATGTTTGTTTTGTCAAATCAGACTAGATTTCATGTATTCTTTGAATATATTAATATTGATAGTAACTATACCAAATAAAAATAATAGTTTTAAGCAGAAAAATCCTCTTTATTAATAGTTTCTTATATTTTATTATATTTGTGTACTCAAATTTTTCCCCAAAATTCTTAATAAACTCTATAAAATAAAACATATTCCAAAAATGCTATTTTAATTTTCATATTATTGAAATTGTCTTTTGTTATAATATGTAATGGTTAGTTATATTTTTGCAACTTTCAAAATCCTACAACTATGAAAAATTCAAATTGTAGTATTGGATTAATTTATGAGGGGGAAAAAAAGTAAGTTTAAATATAAAATGCAAAAGGATTGTATGACGTCGGCATTTATTTAAATTTAGCGTTTTAATTTAAAGTTTTACATAATTTTTTTAAATTTTTATTTTATATAATGAAATTTTAGAATGGCTTTAAAGTAACTTTACAAACATTGAGCTTCTAGCAATGGTTTTGTTATCATTTAAAGATCCATTTTTAAAGTATATTTATTCAATAAAAAACATTTTCTTTGCAACGTATCTTAAATATCAAAACTAGTATTTAATGTTTGACCTTATCTGTTTACATGGTTATGTTCCAAAAATAGAATGTAAACTTTGAATTTAATGAGCAATTAAAGTCTGAAACTATTTTTCATGCATTTAAAATTTATATTCTGAAGTACTTTTTGCATTTTAGTTCTGTTTCAGTAATTATTTTATTTATTTATTTAATTTTTGAATTTTAGAAATTTGATATAATTTGTAAATTTTTATTCTGCTTGTAATATAATTTACCTAAAATCCAATGTTTATAATAGGACTGCAATACTTACAAAGTTTTTAAAAGGATAATATAACCCTCTGTTAGGCATTAAATAAAATAATTTTTCCAAAAAAAAATTTTTTAAAGTTAAAATATTTAAAATATTTGTTTAAAACCAAATATTCCATTTTTAAAACGTTGGTGTATCAAGGGTTGTATTTTTAGATTTCAAGTGATTCATTGAGTTATGTTGTGCTCATCTCATTATTGGCTTTATGATGCATATTTAAGATAAATAATAAATGTTTTAATTAAAAAAAAAGAGGATGAATGTGTTGCTTCATTTTAAAATTATTCCGGAAAAATATGTGGAATGTCTTGCCAATATACAATCATTTCATGCTTTAAAAATTTTCAAGCTATTAATTTATTGTCCAAAATGATATTAAAATTTTCATGGATCTCTAAGTGGGTACCATACCAGATATATAGAGACCAAAAAGATTTTCACAGTCAGTAAAAAGAAAAAAAAAAGAAAAGAAAAAGAAATTTCCCTGTTAAATGCCAATGCTCCAAAAATGGAATTTGGGGATTTCCAAAAATTTTTTCGCTCTATTTTTTTATTTCATTGTTTTAGATTCTTGTTACTTGATGCCTTTCTTAATTAAGTTTATAAATGACCACTTGGGATGTGTTACTTAAAATATGAATAATGTTATACATTTTGCAATTTTTTATGTTTTAAGAGCAGATTTTTGGCTCGACGGTTTTATCCATAGTTAATATCGTCCTTAACCAACTCATATCAAAGACTTGACTGTCAATGAAAAAAAACTAAAAGTTATTTTAAATTACAGTGAAACCTTTTGAAAGCGCTCACTCTTTGTTCCACAGTAAAATGGTCTTTAATGGAGTTTGGTCATTCTTAGGGGTTGCCTCCATTGTCTTCAAAATGTTACTGAAGGTACACGATTTTTGGCCGGCAATTTAAATTTTACTCAGAGTTTTTTACTTGTGTTGGCATCATGAAAATAGGATTGATGAATAAAATTTAGCGTCAATAAAATGACACCTGACAGAATTATGTGTAAACACAAATTTACTAATTATGAATGATAGAACTATTTAAATAAGTAAATAATTATGTTTTTTGTTTAAGTTCCCATTTAATTTTATATTATTAAAGTTAGTTTACTTTGAAGAATGAGTAGTTTGTTTGTTTGAGATGCCTAGGTTTTTATAAAATAACTTTTTTCCTAATTTAACTTTTAACTCTTAAAACTAAATCACTGATAGCACTGTCATTGATAGCACTCTGATTGTGACTTGAGGTAGTCAATCTCTATTGTCAAAAAGAGCTCATTAAATAAGAGCCACTGACAAATATTTTGAATACATTTCAATCCTCT